CTTTTCAAAACAATATTAGTTTTTTTAACTTGGGGAACACTTTTCATTTTTTTCAAGAAGGAAACTATGCAAAGAGTACTGCCCAAGCAGGAAATTGTTGCATAATGCTTTATATTGCCCCTTCAGTGAAAAGGAAAACAAAAAACTATCTTTTGTTGTTGAAAAGAAAAAAAAAGAAGTAGATTAGAAAATGCTTTAATGTTGTCTTGCTGTGGTCTCTAGGAGGTAGAGGATTAGGTCCACTGAATCTGCAGAGAATTTTGACACTTTTACTGCACTGCAATAAAAATATTGAGTGAATTGGTCCTTAGATAATATGTACATGATTTGGTATAACAAATAGTGATAAGAATGCTTGTAAAAGCAAACCAATACATCTGTGTATTGCTTTGGCAAAAAATGGGGACACAGTGCAGCCCTAGCCAGACTTCAGCTGTATCAAAGTTAAAATGTTTATGATTTATTGTGAGGAAGGGATAGTGAACAATAGACCCAGAAAGAATAGAGACCATAATTAAGCTCCCATGTCTGCTTATAAAAAAGCAGATATGAGGATTTTTCAGAATAGTGGGATTTCATCAGCTGTGGTTTCCTGGGTTAGGGGAATTGACTAAGCCTCTGACAGAGGCAACCAATAATGAAAACACAGAACTTGTTGTATGGTGTTCAGAGAGGGAACAAGTTTTAAAGCAATAAAATGGTGTCTGCTCCTTCTCTTGGGCTCCCAGATTATACAAATCCCTCCAATCTGTATGTACATGAAGTGAAGATAGTGGAGTGATAATGCAGAAATTGTGACTGCACCACAAAGCTGTCACATATTATTGCACTCAATTCAATTGCATTGGGAAGATCAGCCTGTAGTAAATCACTGTCAGCAGCAACAATATTGGAGAAAGCTGCCTCTTTATCCTGGGACATCCCATAGCAGTCCATGTTCCACTTGCAGTGGAAAAACTCTAGAGACAGGGTGACCAAAGCTCTGTTGTCACAGTGGGTCATGTACATACACAGGTATGAGCTGATCCTCCTGATGGCAGTAACATCATCTTGAAAGGATGTGACACCTTGAATTCAGCAGGTCTCACACCTCTGCCTGATGATTTGAAGCTCCACTTTGAGTATTGTGTTCAGTTTTGGGCCCCTCACTACACAGAAGGCACTGAGGTGCTGGAGCGTGTCCAGAGTTGGTGAAGGGTCTAGGGAATTAAGTTTATGAGGAGAGCTTGAGGGACCTTGGGCTGTTTGGCTTGGAGAAAAGGAGACTCAGGGTGACCTTATCACTCTCTACAGCTCTCTGAAAGGAGGTTGTACTGAGTTGGGGTTGGTCTGTTTTCCCAGGTAACAAGTGACAGGACAAGAGGAAACAGCCTTAAGTTGCATTAGAATAGGTTTAGGTTGGATGTTAGGAAAAATTCTTCACTGAAAGGGTGGAGAAGTGGGGGAATTAAGTGTTGGAATCACCACCCCTGGAAGTATTCAGTAAACAGGTGGATGAGGCAGTCGTGTACATGGGTTACAAAGTTAGTGCTGAACATGGTCATGCTTTGTTAATGGTTTGATGATCTTAGAGGTCTTTTCCAACCATAACAATTCTGTGGTTCTCTGATGGAGAATATCACCTGTATGATGCACATTTTAAGTAAACCACAGACTGATTTAACTGATACTCTCTTATATTACCCAAATCTAGTTCTTTTTGCAGATGTTTTGTCCTCCTACCTGCAAGGACACTGTGGTGAGCCAGATAAAAGCAATTGAAATTGAGCCACTCTTAGCAAGGATAAATGCACAGGGAGCAGGATTAGTAGCCTTGGCACATGCAGCATCCTGGGAAGAGGAGAACATCTCTGTGGACTCCCAATATGTTCTTTGGGTGTGTCAGGCAGCAGGAATGTTATGGAAAGAATGGGGATTCTTCACATCAGCAGGACAGAGTATCTATCCCTTGGAGAAGAAATATTCAATTTGTCAGCATTAGTACAGTTACCTGTGGTTCTGGATGGTCAGACAGGAAAGCTGCCTTAACAAAAACAAGCCACTGTGTGTCCTCTATGACCTCTTGATTGGATGCTTTTGCAAACAACCGCTGGAGGCAGTGCTTTGCTGCTGGCAGTGAATTTCACAAAATGCATGTTTATAAGAGCTTTCCTTTTCAAGAGAACTACAGGCCAGCTTGGTGAATGCACAAGTGTTTCAGTCAAACTTCAGAGCAAAAACTCCAAATTTGTCATTTAGTGTGGGAAAGAAGGCAGCATTTTTTAAGATAATACCAGGGAACAGTGAGTACCTCTCCCCAGTAAATGACCAGTAGAGGAGTGTAGGAGTACTGAGGTTCCAGGAGGCTGTCAGGCTGCCCTGTTGGAGCTCATTTTCCTTGTTGCTGTCAGTGATTGTTGCTATCAGAATGTTACACAGACATATTTGCCACGACTCAGTATAGTGGAGGTCCCTGCAGCAGTTCCATAGCTCAAGAACAGTTGCTACTTGTTCTCTTTAATTATAGGAGTAAGTAAATCCAGATTTATAATTTGTCTACCAAAAAGTGATTTTCAGGGATCACACTGTGATCAGTTCTGAACAAAACCATGGGGTAGTTGCCGTGGGATTTGGCTGAAATGTTCAGAGCAGCATCTGATCTCTGTGGATCGATCCTGTCCTGTAGATATCTGCAGAGATTAGTGTGGGACCCTCTGCTGCCCTGTACTGGCACTGGACACTCAGCACTGATGTAAATCTGGGTGATGCAGGGATTGGTTAAGTAACAGATCAAAAGAGGATCATCAGGGACAGCCAAGCTGCTTAAAAATTGTGTGCTCTTGTGCTGCAAGTACATTCAGCCTCTAGAACATGCCTGTTAATCCCTGTGGGAAGGGTTGTGGTATTTTAGAAAGCACTGTTTGGACAAAGGTTGGAGCTGCAGCAGGGTGCAAGCTATACCTTGAGTACCTTATGTCTTTGAGTGCTGCAGGGAGGAAGAGCACAGGGTGGAAGGGGAGAATCACCTTCTGTCACATGTTGTGGAAAGGACATGGGGCAAACTACAGCATCTCTCACTGTGTGAAATAGATCTTGAAAGCTGCAGAGGGGTAGAAAGAGAAGAGTGCCATATCAGAGGTGGAAGAGCTGACCAGTAGGCATTCATTCTTCCCCTGGAAAAAAGACCAGGTACTGCCTCAGAGAGGAACATGAAGAGCTAATGAGTGAATTAGTTTTTGATGTGTGTTTCTACAGCAAGAACAACTGTCAGGTAGAATTACAACCTTTCCACATCCTCCAATTAAGATTGAATATCCTTATGTAAGTTTTAGTCTTCAAGAGATAACTTTTCCATGCAGGTAACTAGGTGACTAAATTAGTGCTGCGAGGAAAGTTTGAGTAGATGTGCTGTCCCTGTCTTACATGTTCAAGCCTCATTTCTCTCCATGGCTTGTCTAGCAACAGTCACAATTAGCACTGGTTGTTAGCTAAGCTTAGCCTCTTTTCAAGCTTTCCTTCAGTACATCTGATGGAGTTGCTGTATCCCTTTCTCTGGGCAGAAGGAACTCAGTCCCCCCCTGCCTGAGAGGTGCCTCTTTGTCTTTGGCCTTGCTCCCCACAGCTCACCCTTAGCTAACCATGCCTAAGTATTTCTGGGGAGGAAGAAACCTGCCTCAGGTAATAAAGTTTCTCCCTTCCTACAAGCAAGGGTGGGTGGACAGAGATGGGACCACTTATTGTAGTGCTGGAGTGCACAGAGTACGAGAGCTTAGGGTCTGTGCTCTGGGTTTTGGCTGGAATAATGCAGCCATCTGGCAAACGAGTGTGCAGAACTTCCCTGCACACCCAGCTTCCTGACTTCTGCTCTGTACCAGGAGGGACCAGAACATGAAGGGCAGAGCAGCAGGGTTGCAGTCACAGTCCAGGAAACCTTCTGTACAATCAACATTTTAGAAGGGAGGACAGACATGACAGGGAGGTGAGTGCTTGCTAAGCCCTAAACCTGTCCTGCAGTTTGGCTCTGTACTTCCCTTTTTACTGTTGTTCCATCTCTGGGAGTGTTCTACACTGCTGCTGTATATCACCATAGCAAGAGCAGGTTTTCTCCTTAAAAAATAAATAAAGCAGGTATTCAGAGAGCACAGTGTGTCAGACAGACAGATAATTGGTAGCAGCCAAATCTGTTCTCCAGAGAGGGTGGCCTGACTCTCAGGTCCAGCATGCTGATATCCACAGAAGTCCTGGAAACCAGAGCCTACAGCAAGGCAGCCGTGGAGCACAGAGGGTAACTTGCAAAACATCAGTGTAAATGCTGGTAAAGCCATGTCTGGCTTTGCTCCCTGACACAGTTCCTTGCAAGTAGTCTCTATGGGAGTCCTGCTGCAGGCTCCTAGGCAGGAGATGGGAGTGGCTGGCTGTCTCACTGGCACTGACTCTTCCTTTGAGCAGCAAAAGTAGCTCTTCTCACTTATCCTCAGGATCCTTCCTAGCTTTTTCCTGGAAGTGCCACTTACCATGCTGAGTCCCCAGGATTTGAGCTTGTCGGGTGGCTGAAGCTGTATGAAACCTCCTGTGGGGCTGCTTCCCAAGTCAGCTCTGTGTGGTACCATGCAAGAGAAGAGTGAGTGATGTCTGCATGGGAACATTTGCCTTAACTAAGTCCAGGATAAGAGTGGATTTAAGTGCTTTGGTTTATAAATAAACAGTGCTGTGGCCAAGGTAGATTTAAACAGAGCTGGCAACAGCGCTGCTTGGGAAGGGATCTCTTTACCACATGGCCTGCTGTTGGACTTCCTGTTGCATGCTAATCCCTTAAGCCTGCTTTAGCTCTGTTAATTTTCCTTCTTTCCTTTTTTCCCCGATGGGCTGTCTCCGTGGCGCGTGAATGCCAGCGTTCCTAGGCCAAGCTTGTGCCTGCGACTGGGCCAAGCATCCAGGCTGCCTTCTGAGCACTGGGTACCATGTGGCAGGGCCCCAGGGATGGTGGTGCCTGAATGTGTCCCATTCTCTCTGTCTTACAGGCTCTGCAGTCTGCGCCTGAAGAAACTCACAGTGCTGAAAGAGCTGGACAAAGAGCTGAGCTCTGTGCTTATCGCTGTGAAGATTCAGGTAGGTTCCTCTCCTCGCTGCTGCCCCATGGCAGCAAGCCAAGCCCATCCTTGTGCCCTCTGTGAAGTGCTGGTCTGCATGTCCCTTGCCTAGTGTCAAACAACCCCTGTGTCTCAGTTAGCATGCTCAGGGAGATTTTGGCAGGTGGGAATGATGCCCCAGGGACAGCGGCAAGATACCTGGTGCTGGCTTGTATCAGGAATTAATTTGGTTAGATACTGGGACAGAATCTGTCATGCCTCCCTGCCTACCTCTGCCAAGGCCCTCCTCTCAAATTGCTGTTTGGAGTTTGTCATCCTACTGTTCCCTACCCTTTAAGAGAGGATCAGTGCTGGATGGTTTCCAGCAGTGCCTTCCATCCAGATCACTCCCTGGGGAGGGAAGGGTGCAAGGGATCAGCATCTCTGTGCATAATGTTCTGCTGATATTTGTACCCAGTCTGGTCTCTAATATCCCTTCCCTTTCCCTGTGCATCCCTGCTAGTCCTGGTGCCTCTACTGTGAACTAGGCAGAAGGGAGGGGAAAGGATCTTTGTCACCAAGGGGGCAGGAATTTACCACCATCCTGATATGTGCGATCCCTCCACTCTCTCTGCTGCTTGTGGTGGAGCAATGTGTTCCTGGGGGTGCAGGCACATCCTTTCCATGTGCCAAAGGACAGCATGGAAACAAAATGCATCTTGAGTATGCTGTCCTGGCCACAGCTTCCCTGACCCAGCTAGGGTGCTGGTGTCCTTCCTTCGTTCTTGTCAGCTGGCACGAAAGCAGCTGATCCCGTTGAAAGCACCGTGGGGCGGCAGCTCAGCAGCTTTGTGCTCCCACAGAGCTCTTTGTGCTGCACACATTAGGATCTAAATCCTGGATTAATGCTGGAAGCTGCAGTATTAGTGGAGCTCTGTGAGCTGGAGTTTGTCTTCATGACAGACCTGATTCACTTGCACAGAAGAAACTGAAAGCAAAATGTATGAAACCTGAGGCAGGGAGTGAGGACAGTGGAGGAGTCTGTGGTCCACACACTATTGGTCAGTGTCCCACTTTGCTGGCATTTCCATCACTGTATGTATGGTCATTCAGGAGAGCTGAAAGCCCTGGAACCCCTGAGACCTGAGCAGCAGAGAGCTGCCTGACTGGGCCTTGGAAATGTGGAAGCAATCCAGGCTGGGCCACAGCTGACAGCAGTACTGACCAGGACTAGGGGGCTGGCAGCCAGCTGGAAGCTCTGGGTCCTACTTGACTGGGAGGGCTGGAATGGTCCCTGACTTCTCTCCTGCACAGTCAGCCCAAGCTGAAGGTGCTTCTCTGCACTGGGGAACCTTGGGTTCTTGTGCAGCCCACATGTGCTGGGGCTGACATGATCTGAGTGTGCATGGCCTCAGCTGCAGCCCTCACACACTACAAATGTGGGACAGTGGAAGAGATTGCACAGTGGGACTCCACCTCTCTCAAACAGACCATCCCCATCCCTGCCACAGGCCAATCTTGCACCTTGGTGGCAAAAGAAATTAATAGGCCTCAGCAGTTTGAAGCCACAAAGCCTTCTTGCTGCAGGGCTTCTTTTCCTGTTAGGGAATGGAGGCTGCATCCAGGGATTGAATTTAACCATGGTCACCTCCTCTCTGCATGGCCATGTAGCTGTGGCTGCATGCTGGTGTAGACTTCCTGCAAAGCTGAAGAGAACAAGGAAAATACTTTTGCCCACATTACCCCGTGGCTCAGCATTCCTTGTGGGAGTGGGCTGAGTTTGTGTGCCTCCCCAGGCTGCTTTCCACCTGCCTGACCAGCTGCCTTGGCAGGGTTTGGGACTGCTGGAAGGCAGATGGAGGCTGTAGGCAGCTTCAGCACAGCATGCCTACAGAGTGGCCTCAGATGGATCCATTCTCCTGCTCCTCTCCTAGGTAACAGATGAGTCACACTAGTAAGAAACTGTTTGAAGGCTTTCCAGTGAGCATTCCATCTTTTGGATGGAAACAGCTGATGCACATAATTTATAAAGGACCTGCAAATTCCCAAGGGGGAAGCTGGGGACTAGAGGAAAGGAGAGCTGTATTTCTCTCACTTCAGTAGTAGTTCTGTTAGGGTCAGCAAGTTGCTGCTTTGAAGGGCAGATTGAATGGAAATAAAGCTCTGACCCTGCCTGGGTGGAGCTGCCACCCAGGCAATTGCTCCAGTGCTGGACACAGTCTGCTTAAAAAATGTGCATGACCCAAAGGACAGTGTAAAGGCTGTCCAGAACTCCTCATGTTTTTCTCACAGTGCACTTCTCACTTAAAAGACAGCTTCCAAGGGTACCATGTGCTGCTCCTTCATCTGGAAATGCCACTGTAAAGGGGAACTTTTATGTCTACAGAACTTATTCATTTCCCAGAGGTGATTTGAATAGATAATGTTCCATGGATTTGGGTGAGATAAAGGCTGAACTCCTGTGGAAAAGGGGATTTGTTCTCATTCACTTGAGTGGTTTTTAAACCTTTGTCCCTTGTTATTGTTTTAACAGACTGGAGCCATCATAGAGCATTTCCTTCTGTGTGTTGTTCAGTGTGGCACTAAGAGATTTGGATGTGCTGGCTCAGCTCCATACAGCTGCAGGTACCTGCCTTGGTATCGCAGCTGATTTTGGCATGAAGGGAAACACAGTGTTCCCTCTCAGCAGAGAGGCTCTAGTTCACAAACACCCTGTCTTGAGCCATGAATAGAGGAAACAGTCAAAGAAAAAGAAGAAAACAAGCCCCAGCACTCCCAGACTGATGCAGATCTTCCTGCGTCTGCCTGTGGGATATAGCTGGTGACTCAGGTTCAAGCCTTGATGCTGCTGTAGAGAGATGATATTGGCAGTCACTACATAGGAGACAAGAGTGTGTGCTGTGAAATAGGCCAGGTTAAAAAGGTTGTTTGCCTCTTCCAGGCCTGCCCACTGCCCCAACCCTGCTCCCTGAAGGAACTTGGGCTTTTTTGGTCTTTCTTACTGTGCAGAGTTTTCTTTTTATGCCTCAGTCATGCTTTGTTTCTTATCTCTTTGTAGTATTTTTCACTCCTGCCCGAGCAATCCTAGCTAAACCCTAAATTTGTTATTATATTAATGGGCTGTTCTCTCCCAAAATTCGTGTTCAACTTGAGTTTTGGTGTTTCGCTGTCTGCCTAGTCCAGTACTTGTATAGTACTCTCTCATTTTCCAGATGTGGAATGCTGCTCTAGCCTCAACCCTCATAAACCAGACCAATCAGGACAGATTTACACCTGAAATTTGAGTTTGTACCTTGCAAACCAGAGCTGGGCATCATGTACCTGTGTATTGTAGTGAAAACTCCTTTGTGTTTTCAGTTCTTAGGTACTAAAAACCTGTGACCACCACTTGTCCCTATTGCTTTTCCCTTCCTGGACACTCTTTGTCATCCATGATTTTCACTGTAGCAGTCTGATATTAAGTTTTTCTGTAGTATTCATAGGGATACTCAACTGCTCTGCAGAGAAATTGGTGTTGCCTGACATTTCCCGAGATACAGAGCAGCTGAGCTATATGAAGTGCTCAGTGTCATGTCCAGTTGAGGTTTGAATTTCTCAAAGGATGGAGAATCTTCAGTATTTCTATGTCCTTGTCCTTGCACTGTGATAATGCAGCAGCCTTTGTCCCAGTCCTTGCAATTCCACACAGATGTGCACTGGCATTTCACTGAGGGATTGGATTCACCTAGGATTGAGGCTGGTATGTAACTTCCTTAGTGGTAAATGATAGTGAGGCACAGGACAGCAATGTTTATGAAACCATCATTTCCTGAACACACCACTCAGGATATCCTCACCTTTTCTTTGCCATAAGTCCTTCCCCAAAAATAGCATCTTTAGGAACAGTAATTACACTTCTATTTGTGTTTTGATGAAAGAATAAATCTTTGGTAGATAATTTCTCTGCAACAAAGAGCAAATTGTGCTAAAGTAAATGGTCACTGTCATTGTGACTGCCTATCATGTGTTATCAGATAAGAGTTCAGGAAGGGTCAGGGTGTTCTTGGCCAGGAGGGCTCACAGATGGTGAAGGGGATGAGCTCCACCTCCTCTCTTCCGTTTTAGGAAGACCTTTTGCAGGAAAGCCTTGCTCCTGGCACAGTCTCTGGGAACAGCATTGCAAACAGCTTTTGGGAGGATCTGTGGGTTGTGCCACCCTGCAGCCAAGAGGACCTGGTGCATGCAGACAGCATTTTTATGCCTCCAAGTCATTCAGTGTCTCTATCAGAAACCAAGACATAGAGATCGTAGAGATAGGGCAGGGGTAAAAGAAAGAGTTGGAGTAGGAACATGATCAGAGTGCCTCTGTTTTACCCTTCTGGTAAAAACATTTCTGTATGTAGAGAGATAAAGAATGTTGCCTGAAGAAAAGACTAGGATAGAATTTTCTGAGACACAAGCTGAGCAAGCAGGGGGACCCCTGTTTTCCTGGACATCCTGACTTGGTCCCAGCAGAGCCGTCCTGCCAGCTGTGCTTAGACAGGGATCTGCACTGGGCCTGTCTGCTTGGGGGAGAGATGTCTCCAGGACCTGGTCCTTTCCTGGCCAGGCAGTGTATTGGGACCCTTTCCTTTGCCCTGCCTGGTTCCCTCTGGCTCCAGGAGTGTCCCTCTGGCATGGGAGTGGCACTCCAGGTGCAGAGAGCCAGATTAAGCAGAGCAGGTGCTCCCTGGCAGGTGGGCAAGGAGAAGGGCAGCTCAGGGGGTACTGCAGGCTTTTGCAAAGCATTGATAGGCATGTGAAAGGTGGCTCTGCAAGGTGGATCAGAACAGTCAAGGCATCCTGTCTTTCCTTGTGGGCTGAGATCAGCATTGTCTTGTGTGTGTGATGCAGTGGGGTCTGTGGTCAAGCTCAGTCTGTCAATCTCGTTATAGGGGTCAAAGCGAGTCCTGAGGTCAAATGAATACATCCTCCCACCTGGGGGCCTGATGGAGACCGAGCTGGAGCTGACCTTCTCACTGCAGGTACCTGGTGTTACCTGGTCCCCTGGGCTCCCTTACCTGGCATTTTTCAGCAAGCACAACCTTAGGGCTAAGTGTGAAAGGCACTGCCTCTGCGGAGGAGCCTGCTGTGGTTGGGCAGCTGCTCCATTGCTCCAGGGATTGTTTTGCTGGGCATTGGGATTTGGAGGATGATGGATAGGTGCAGGTGGCCTTTGAGGGACACCTCAAAGCTCAGCAGGTCTACAACAGCATTGAAGAAGAGTTTTCTACCTGTGTGTCGTGCTGAACATTGCCCTCATGCTGCCATCCTCTGTGTGCTTCCCTTCCCCAGTACCCACACTTCCTCAAGAGAGAGGGCAACAAGCTTCAGATCATGCTGCAGCGGAGGAAGAGATACAAGAACCGCACCATCCTGGGCTACAAGACCCTGGCAGTGGGAATCATTAACATGGCTGAGGTACAGCGTGCTGGGAACAGAGGGGAGTCCCACGTGGCCTTCCTGTGCCAGCACTGGGCAGGGCACTGGGCTGGCAGGCAGGGTCTCATTGCTGTGGGTGTTCTGGCTTGTTGGCTGGCTATAATATAGAGAGGGTGGGCTGCCAGCTGCCACTGTGTCACCCTATCAGGGAGCTTGTCTGTCTGTCTGTCTAGGTCATGCAGCACCCAACGGATGGCGGGCAGCTGCTGGGCCTCCACAGCAACATGAAGGATGTGAACATTCGAGTGGCTGAAATCAGCATCTACTCTCTGTCCAGTCAGCCTATCGACCATGAGGATGGGAATGTCCCCTCAGGTCCTAAAATCAAAGCTTCAGGTGTGTTTAGTGCTCAGACCTGCAGGCAGACATCTGGGACACGGGTAATGGAGTGTGTCCCCCAGCATTGCCAATCCTTTCACTGGAGCCATGACAGGCATCATGCTTAGCTGGGGCATTTGCACTGTCTGCTTTCAGATCGCTCCCCAGACATTGATAACTACTCTGAAGAAGAGGATGACAGCTTCTCCTCAGAGCAGGAAGCCAGTGATGATGCTGTGCAGGGTCAGGTAAGGGTGGCCTGGCAAGATGCCTTATGTCCTGGTCCTGTTTCTGGGGCAAGAGTCAGGCATTGAGGTTCTTGAGCACCCTGAGCCCTCTCATCCCCTTGTAAACACCTGGCATTGTTTCAGAGGGCTGAGCTGTAATACTCCACAGCAAAAAGAACTTTGACAGCAGTGGGCTGCTGTCAAGTCCATGGTGAGGCAAGGGACTTTGGAGAGCCATAAATCTCATCTGTCTGTCTCTGGAGCTGTCTGTTCTGCAGCAGAAAACCCCTGCTGAGCCCTCTCCATCTTGCACCATGATTTTCTCCCTTCTCCCTGTGATAACAGGTCAGAGACTCCTCACTGTCTGAGAGAGGGGTTTTAGGAAGAAGTAGTTCTGAAAATGGTCAGAGGTGACAGACCCATCCCAGCCCTGTGATGAGATGTGTCACTGCTGTTTGCTGTGCTCTTGTGGTGCCTGTACTCAAGACCACAGAAAGCCTTGTGGTAGTGTGCTGATAAAGCACAGGGACAAACCCCTGTTCAGGGTTTTGTGGTGGTCTGAAGGTAGCTGAGGTTATTGGGGCAGATTAGAGTGCAGCAACACTGGATGACCAGGGTTTATAAATGTGTATCTATATGGCAGGTTTATTTCAGAACAACTTGGTTGCAGTGGAATGGAGCTATGAGGCCATTTTGGTTATTATTACCCATAGTAATACAACAGTATATATATATATATATACTTTTATACAGTATACTTTTATACAACAGTATAAAAGTATAAAGATACCATATAACAGAAAAAGAAGGAAAGAGAGGTAAAGAAACAATAAGAGTAGATACTGGAGAGAAAAGATATCACCAGCTGTGGATTCAGATTTGATTATTGCTTGGTTGAAGTGATGATCGTAGTCTTAATGGGGGAAGCCTGAAACAGAGTTCAGTGGTTGATATGCATTCAGGTTTAGGTGGGAATGCCCAGATGCCTCCACTGGAGTGGGGACTTCTACACTGTCTAATATAACACTGTGGATTAGGTGCAGTCCTCAGGTGAAAGGCCTCAGGAATGAGTCTGGGGGTGCTTGGGGGTGGTCTTTGATAGTTTGGCACCTTCTAAGACATGAGAGCTCTCTCTCACTTCAGTGTAGTTGAGCCAGTTATGCCACATCAGAAGGGATGAATACCTTCAGGCCTAAGGGAGGGGGGGGATGGGGGAGGAAGTTTTACACCTGAGCCAGTTGTGTAAGGGAGGATATTGGTCTGATGAAAAGCATTATCCCACCCAGCAGGATCTGCTTCTTGTGGCCTCTTCCTTTATCTGGCTCAAAACCCAGCTTGTTGCTAAACTGAAGTTGGTTTGTCATGGTCAGTCTCTGGTGATGGGTCACCCCTCTGCACCTAGGCTGTTCTTAGCAGATCAGAGGCTTCTCCACCACACATCCAAAAATTCTCCTCCTCTTCCTCTTCAGTTTGCTGGGCCTCAGCAAAGCACACCTGCTGCTTTTGCAAATGACCATTTGTTCAAGACATTAACCATTCTCATTTCAGTCTTTCACGAGGGTCCTCCAGATTACCTGTCCCATCATGCTGAATTAATACAACAGGGGCCCATGTCCCTAGGAGTTGTGCATATTGTTAAGGCTAACCCCTGGAAAAAAGTTTGTTTGTGATTCATGTGCTGTGCTCTCTGAGCTAACTCTGGAGAGGGGAGAGCAGGAGAACAACACATGGGTCCTGAGGAGGCTGTGTCTCCTCTTATCTTGCTGATGCATTCTTCCCTGGAGGGCCCTGGGGACAGAAGTGCTGGGAAAGAAGGTCTGAAGGAAAAGAATGCTAAGGAGAGAGAAGGAGCTCCATAGAGAGGGGTACCAGAAAAAGACAAGGCTTTGGGGGCAGAGTGGATCAAAGCTTTTCAAAATGGAGGGCAAATGTGGGTCTGGAAAATTTTAGGAGGTGCTGCTCCATGAACTTAGTTGTTCTAATGTACTGTGACTTTTTGCCTGCAGGATCTGTTTGATGAAGAGGATGACTTGAGGAAAACCAAGAAGTCCAGGAGGAAAATGAGCCGAACCACATCAATATCCAGAGTAACATCAGCATTTACAACATGATCAAAGGGATGGAAGGGATTGACTTTCTCCCCTCTCTGAAGGCAGTGAGGGGTGTTGGGAAGGGGAGATGCTGGCACTGGTGCAGAGCAGGGAAGAGAGCCCTTGGCTCTGAGAAACTCTTGCCATTAATGAGCTAGCTTGTTGCTCAGAGCTGTATCCCAGTTCATGGTCTGTACTGTGTTCAGCCTGGCTTTGTATCACTGGTGATCTGTGTGCAAGAGAGTTTTGACTTGCTGCTGTGACATGGTCTCCTTCCTTTCTTGAGGAAGAGGAGGGTAGGCACAAGGAAAGCTGAACTATTGCAGCTCCTCTGCGTGTCTGCAGAAGGGAGGAGCTGCTCAGCCAGACCCTTGCTCTCCAAACTTCTCATCCCTGTTGCCTTTAGCCCTGCACATCCCTGGCCACCTTCTTCCTGATTTGTTCCCCATCTTTTCTTGCTTGAAGGCAGTATTGTTCAACCAGGTGGTCTGGGGAGAAACAGGAATTAAATGAAGTGCTAATTCAGCCTGTAGCAGAGCAAGTATGAGTCCTTGCATCCTCCCTCTTGCCCAGACCATGGCTTCTTGTGGAGTACAGAGGTAGTCCAAGTCCTACAGCAAACTTAAAGAAAGAGAGAGAGAGAAAAATCACAGCTGACCTTGGACCTCTGGACATCATGTTAGAGAGAATAACCATGGCCTGTATGTTAGCTTGGAATGTGGTTTGATAGTTTTGCTGATCTTTTTTTCTTCCTTTCTTTTTTTTAGCAACCAAACTTCAAGCAGAAATTTGTGGCTTTGCTGAGGAGGTTCAGAGTGACAGAAGAGGTAAGAAACAGGAAAGCTGCCCCATCTGGTAATGTCTCCTGCAGGTGTGTAGGTGTCAGAGTGCAGGGTCATAAGCTCAGGGATGGACCAAATGTGGTGTGAGACATGGCAGGGCCTAGGACATGGCTTTTCCAAAGCCTTCTGCACCAAGAAAGCAGCTCTGAGCCTTGTGCTCAAATCAAAAAGCACCTTCCTGTTGGGGGAAGGTGCCCAGGGAAGAAGAGTGCTGTCACAGACTGGTTCTGCACCAGGAGCTGACATTGCAGGGGCAATCCTGTCCAGGTAGACTGGCTGCAGGCTAACATCAGCCTGTGGATGGCTTCTCTTGGCTGACAGCCCAAGTGTGTAGCACAGCCAGTGAAGGTCCTCCCAGGTGTCCTAACTGCCAGTAAATGTGATGGGTGTCTGAGACTCCTTTGGATGTCATGCTCATGGCACCCTCCTTTGGCCCAATGACAATGTCACTGGATTCTTCCACAGCCTGAGGTGGGAACAGTGCCATGGTGTGCCCCATGACTGGCGGGCAGCTTGTACATGTCTGTTGTGGGATGCAGGGAACTCCATGTCTCTTCACTGTTCTCTGGCTTGGTCCCACAGGTCCTGGACTCTGACCCTGTAGACCAGACCCAGGAGGTAGAAGAAGACCTGGGCTTGCTCTATGACAGCCTGGAAGAGTGCAACAACAGTGACAGTGGCCCAGAGATGGAGGACAATGAGAGTGTGCACAGCACACCCAAGCCCACCCTGAGGTAAAGGTTGCAGGGAGTCCCTGACCAACAGCACAGCCTATGGGACCTGGAGAAATGGTCTCCAACACCTTCCTGTTGCTTGGGCTAATGCAGGCATTGTCTTGTCTCCACTCCCATTGCCATCTGCTACTGGCACCTCTGGCTCCTCACTTAAAACTGCCCATTAAATCTGATTTCCTTCACATTTAGTCTCGTTTTTCTGCCAACCCAGCATCTGACACTGATCTGTTGGTAGAGCCCTATTTGATCTAAGCCCCAGCTGCTCCCAGTGCTCATATCTTTCTGCCAACAATCATGGTGTTCTCTGGGCTCTCCACACTGAAGCATGCCTGTCTTTTGAGCCCTTTGTGACTGCTTGGACCATCCTTGTGAGATGTGCATGCTGTGTTCCCACCCTGTGTGGAGATGTGACAAGCAGCCAGCAGTGCTGTTCCTCACTCCGTTCCCCAGGCACTGGTGACTTGCTCTGCCAAGAACTGCTGACTTAGCACAGGGATCTCCAGTGGATCATGCAGGGAAACCAGGCTTTGCTCCCATGTGGTCTGTGCTCACCTGGCCTCTCTGCTCATGGCTCTTGTGCTTTTGTGCTGTCTTTTTGTGAAAAAGTTGTCTTTTATTGTCTTTCTACTTGACTGCATCATGGCGCACTGGGTTTCTTGTAGTCAAGCCAAGCTTACTTGGCATTGTTGTTTCTATAGTTTTATATATAGAATCATAGGAACATAGAATGGCCTGAGTTGGAAGGGACCTGAAGGATCATCTAGTGCCAATCCCCCTCCCATGTAAAAAAAAAAATTAAAAAAATACACACACACACACATATATATATAGATATACAATATATATATTAAAAAATATTATTTGGTTGGTATCCCCACTGAAGGTACTTAGCAGGAGTAGCAGGCATGGTTTGCCACAGGCAAACTGAAATTAAATCTGCTGGATTCTGGAACCAATAGGCCACTTGGGAAAAAAAACAGGAACATGATAGAAGTCATGATTTCCACAAACCCACAAGTTATTGTGAAGGAGACAGCAGGCACATGGGCAAGCTGCTTAAGTGATCTGCTTGGACTCCAAAAGGAGTTTCACATGGTCTCTCATCAAAGGAGACAAAGGTGCTGTGGGAGAAAAAGGAAGATTTTTCTGTGGTCAGATAATGGTTTATATATAGACTATGTGAAACTGTAAGAAAAGACTATTGAGAGTATTTAAAGGTAAAGACAGACCTCCACCCTGTTTCTGCAAGTGCCTACTTGCAAATATCTGATCACTGGAACAGCATTCCAGAGTGAGTGCTGGTTTGTGCTGGTGCCCACCATTACAGTCTGCCTGGAGTGTTTGGTGCTATTCCTGGAAGGACAGCCTGTTGGGGTCTGAGCTGTTCTTCATACTGTTCAGAAAGTGTCCCTGGCTTGGTTTGGTCTCTGGTGCCTCAGTTTCTGGCAGTGCTGAATGTGTATCCCTTGAATTTACAAGGGAATACTTCACAAAGTTCTGGGACTGTATCTCTAAGGAGATGTGGAAGCTGCCTGCCAAGGTGTTTCATGTAGACTTCGTGGTTTCCAAGTGCTGTGTAGCCTTCTCAAGGGGTAAATTCCAGCCCAGCCTGTAAATCTGAGGTGATCTTCACATTGGATTTCTTGTCATAGCCTTGCTAGACACTGTAAACATCTCTGTGAAGCAAGGGCACACTAATGGTGTGCAGCCCTTAGCAGTGGGAGGTGGCTGGTGCCCTGGGTTGGGCCAGTGGTGCTGAGAGCTGGTCCTTTTGATCAGCCAGGGATCACACAGCATCAGTTTGCTCCTGCACTGGAGCAAAACTGGAGCTGGAACTGAGGCTGTTAGGCAGGACCCCAAGTCAGACCTGTTCATTGAAGGTCAAAGGTGAATGAGCAAATATCTTCATATCTGACTGGAAAATGGATGGGACAAGGGGGGCTAAATTCATTTAGAGCAGAAGGGGACTGTGCAGAAGGACTGGCTTCACCTAAATCTCAGCATGCTGAGACGTGGGCTCAATCATGCCTGTAGGAGGAGAGCCTTTAAACTGCAGAACAGGAAATTGCAAAAGGGCTCTGTGCTTAATGGGATGTCCTTCAGGGATGAAAGCTTCTGAATTGCAAGTGAGAGAAGGCACAAAAAAACACAGCTTTCATGGGGAAGGGGGAGACAGCCTGATATAAATGGAGTGTTGAAAGCCAGAGGAAGTAGAATATAATCTAGACACATCCAGTGTCTAAGAAAAAGGAGGGAATGAAGATACCTCTTTGTGATGCCAGTGGCATGAAGGGTATGTCACATTCTGGTGGGATTACTTGGGATAGTATAGAGGAGTATGGAAGAGATGCTGATTGAGGGGTGATCTTGGAAAACCTACATGTTTTTCTGGTTTTACTTAAGTTCTTAATGTAGTCTGTATGGATTCAGTTTCTGGCTGGGAAAGGCAAGTGTAGAGTAATGACTGTACAGAGTGGTGACAATGCCTGAGATTTTGTAGCAGAGAATGGAGGGGAAGAGAGAGGAGATATGTTGGTAAAAGGAGATGTAATTTATACCAGTGTGTGGCCTGGAGAAAATGTCCCACCAGGGCACTGTTGTGACTCTAAACCTGAAACAACTGGTCACAGAGCCAGTGAGGGGAAAATCAAGCCTTGACTTTTCCCAACCAGTGTGTAAACACTGCTGCTGAAGAGCTGCTCTGTGCAGGAGCCATCATTTATTTACAGAGGTGGAATGTCCTTTCAGGAGCAGTAAAACCTGACACACACTGTTGTGCCTGGTAGTACAGTGTGCTGTGTACAAATGAGGAATCATGCTAAAAGGAAAATAAAAGGAGCAGGCAGGATGTTCAGAGGAGATATCGTGCAGGAAACTGCAGGTAAATCCTGATGAGAAAAGTAGAAAACAATGGAAAGACACTCTGACAGAGTACTAACAGAAGAACTTCTCTGTGTCTTATGCCTCAGTGGCCATCCCTGGAAACCTGCAATCTCATAGCCCTATCTGCACACTAGGCACATCAGGAGAAACATTTCCTGGGACTTAATGAGCTCGTACACAAAGCTTAGAGGGAATCTAGCTCTGATCTCCTGCAGCAAAGTCACACATTGCAGGTGGATTCTGCTTGCTGTAAAGGTCCTGGGAAACCTGGCAAGTGAGATCCAGTGATAGACTCCACTTGTTTCCTAAAGAATGGTCTTGAGCAGCCCACAGGCTGTGAAAGGGGTCCTTGACAAAGACATGATGTGTGGAGAAAGGGTAAGCAAAGGTGGAAGCTCACACTATAGTGGCAGAGACTGTCCTGGTTTCCCCAAGAGAGTTCCTGTGTGAACTATGGTAACTTGAAAAGAGGATCTAGGAGCTGCACTGTGCAACTCCACCAGAACATCAGCCCAGAGACCAAAAACTTGGCAAATTTAACTACTGTGCTGCCTGAGGTGTGGTTCTGTGTGCAATACTGAAATCTTCAGAACCTTGGGAAAGGGGAAAGCAGAAAGGGAAGGAGAATGCTGCAGTTGGAAGAGTGCAGCAGCAGCAGGCAGAGGCAAGGAGCAATCCCTGGAAGAGGGGAAGCAGAAGAGAAGGCAGCAGAAGTCTGTGATGGTGCAGAGGAAGCAGAGAGGTTTAGTAGCACGCTGAAATTGTGGTGTTGACAGAGACTATATACCAGTGAGATGGAGCAGAGTGGCAGCTCCTCACCTGCACTTCAGGGGTAGGGGATCACCTGAGGCAGAAAGCCCCAGGAGCCCCTACCTCCAGCTCCCCGAGGTCACAGGGGGCACTGCTGCCAGGTCTGCTCCTCAGCTGTCACCCAGACACTTGGCTGTCTGGCCCTGTGTCCCACTGAGGACCTCTCCACAGAGCTCTGTGCTTGGGACAGGCCAGTGGGGGTGTGCTGGGATCATGGTGACTTTGTTCCTCTCTTATTCCTGCCTTTTTCTCTCCCGTCTGTCTGTCTGTCCGTCCGTTCGTCTGTCTGTTTCTCTGCAGGCGTTTCTTTGAGGGAGTCTCTCATTCTGGTTCCCAGACTGAGATCGGCAGTCTGCACAGCCAGAAAGGGCAGGATCAAGAGTCGGGCAGCCCTGTGAGTTACACCTCCACCACCACCTCCTGCCCCTGTCCCTCCCCAGCTAGCCCAGCACCCCCACAGTGCCCGCGCTCTGAGACCACAGCTCCTGGCAGCACCTGCCTGGGGCTGCTCCTTTCCTTCTTTCCTCCTCTTTTTCCCAGCACAGGCAGACAGGTAGCGATGGGGGACATCCTCTGGGGCCGGTCCCAGAGATGCCCGACTCCCCTGTGGGAGCTTGTGTTCTGTGAGGCCAGGCATGGGTCACTGGCAGCTGCCCTGCACAGAGTGCTCCATCCTGCTCTGACCCCACTCCCTGTTCCCCAGGGCGAGGCAGACAAGCAGAAGGCAGGACCACAGCGACCACAGGAGGAGCAAGGAACGGAGGTCCCTGCAGTGGTGAGTCCAGGCTATGGGATTGGAGCTCTTTCAAACTCCAGCTTGCTTTCTGGAGTACCAGGGGTGCCCACCAGGCTGGGAGCAGGGCTAGGAAGACCAGTAGATTGTGCTGGAGAGCAGCAAGGGTTGAAGGAGTGGAAGGGTCTGCAGGACATGCAGCCCAGCCCTCCCAAGACCCTGCAGCCTTGGCTCTCTGGGAGGGCACCAAGCCTCTGTTGATGATGGGCACCCATGGGTGCAGGGTTGCTCCTTGTTGGATGTAGGGTCTGCAGGACATGCAGGCCAGCCCTCCCAAGAACCTGCAGCCTTGGCTCTCCAGGAGGGCCACCAGGCCTCTGTTGATGATGGGCACCCATGGGTGCAGGGTTGCTCCTTGTTGGAGCTAGGAGAGCAGTGTGTGTGAAGTGACTCTGTGTGGCCCTCAGGAGCTGGTGGCAGAGGACTCGTGTTCCCGGCTGACCCCCACAGAGGCTGCCATGAGGGAGGGCAGCGTGGACAGACTGGTCCTGCTGGGCTCTGGGAGCAAAGCCGAGCTTCCGAGTGCCGTGTCCCCCAGGTAAGGCAGGTCTGTGCCCCCTCCCAGGGCTGAGCGAGCTCACACTGGCTCCCTGAACTGAGTAGGGGTTGGTGGAGATGAGATTTGATGAGATTTCCTCAGCAGTTTTGCCTCTTCTGCTTCTTCACAGCAAGGCAGAGAGCAAGCAGCTGTGGCGTCCCCGCAGCACCTCCGTGAAGGACCGGCAGAGCTCAAAGGTACAAGGTGGCCGTGCCAGCAGCCTGGACAGTGAGAGCTCTCCAGACTCATGGCATAACACCCAGGTGAGCCCACTTGGAGGTTTCTCATTCAGGAGCTGCCAGGTCTTCAGCCACAGGCTGTGTCCAAGGTGGCTGACTGGGGTTAACCTTTGTGGTGATGCTGTCACAGGTGCCTCGAAAGTCTGTTTACGATCAGCTGAACCAGATCCTGGTCTCAGACGAGCAGCTCCCCGAGAGCATCGTGCTGGTGAACGTTGCTGAGTGGCAGGGGCAGGTGAGTGGGTGATGTGTGATGGGAGCTGGATGCATGTGGGCAGCTGTAAGCACGGTGGATTCTCCCAATCATAGCAGGGCATCCTAGGGAAACTGGCACAAGCTGTGCCCTCCTCTCCCCCAGTGTGGCCCTTCCTTCAGAGAGACAATTCATTGACAGGGTGCTGAGTTACATACACGAGAGTCAGGTGTGTCTCCTCCATCACACAGCATCACTGGATCCTCAAAACATGATGTCCTGATCAGTCCCAGAAAGGCTGGCTAGCAGACTGTGGCTTAGGCTCTCGCTGTTTGGTCCTGACTCCCAGGAACCCTACGGGTCAGAGCTTTGTTGGATTCCCTGGTAAAGAGCTCTCTGCCTCTGTGGGCATGAGGCCCTGGGAAGCAGCAGCATATTTCCCACTGAGAGATGGAAGAGTGTCACCAGCCACTCTCAGGGAGCATTACCTCCATCATCAGAGCAGGGTGAGGACAGGCCCAGTCCCTGACAAACACTACCCCATACATACCTGGAGCTCTAAAGCCAGAGGTGAGCAAGGAAATGCACATGTGTGCAAACATGCATTTAGGTAAAACACCTGTGAGTCCCCTTCAGGATCCTGCACCTACATCTGGCATCCAGAAAGAGTGCTGGAAAATTTTGAGACATAAGAAAGGGCTTAGTGAGAGGTGGTGAAATCTTGACTCAGGCCATGCATTGGCTTGTTCCACTTGTCCTGGATAGGAAAATAGGAGTCAGTGCCCACTCCCAAAAACAGCCCCCTTGTCCATTTTGACTGCTTATTTTACCACTGTTGAACTGCATGCAGACACCTGAAGAGACAAAAGGATTTTGGAGTGCCACAGAGGGAAGAGAGCAAGAAGAGGGAATGAGCAGAGGCAGAGTGAGCCTAGAGCAGGGCCCTGCTATGGAATGGCAGAATTAAATCAGAGTGTCCCTGGACCAAACTGCTTATTTCAAAGAACACAGCCTGGTTCTTGGGAGAGTTTTGCCCTTGCCATGGCATTACCACAACAGTGACTGCTGAGCTCAAAGGCAAGAGCAAGGAGCTGCTGGTCCCTAGAGCAGAGCTGGGAGGAGCGGGGATGCTCAGGATGCAGCTGTGAGTCACCTGATGGTTTCAGCCTCCCTGCATGGCACGGGTGGGGACAGGTGTCCCAGCTGTAACCCAGGGGACACGGGGCTCAGGGCAGGCATGCACAGCTATGCTTCCAGGGTGCCTTAACCTGAGCTCTCTGCATTGGCAGTACGTGAGCGAGCAACTCCAGGCGCACAAGCAGTTGGTTGTGTCCACGTGCTCCGTGGCAGACATCCAGGCAGCCTTCAACACCACTGTCTCCCGCATCCAGCGATAGTGAGTACAGCTTGGGCTCAGCCTGGTGGCACCGTATGGGTTCAGAGAAGGGCTGGGTATGGCCCAGGGCTCATTAGGACCCTTTGGGGCTGTGGACACGTGTACGCCCTGGGGAGAGTGGAGGGTCCCAGTACTGCTTTTGCCCATGGCAGTGCACACCAAGCTGGATGTTCTCAGCAATGGGTTTTTGTCAGCTGGCTTGGTAGATCGTGTCCCCTGGGCCACCTGCTGAGCCACTGCACATCCCTCAGGGTCTCCTTTTCCTCTCCCTTTGGCAGCTGTAACTGTAACTCCCATATGCCTCCCCCGGTGAAGGTGGTGGTGGCAGGGGACCAGAGCTACCTGAGCGTTGTCCTCCGTTTCTTTGTGGAGCAACTGGCCAGCAAGACACCCGACTGGCTCAACTACCTTCGCTTCCTGCTTGTACCACTGGGTGAGAGCCATGAGGAGCCCAGCCCCAGGGCTGTCCTCTCTCACATCCCCAGACTCTGCTGCCTGAAGCCAACACTGTCCTTCTCCCCTGCAGGCTCTCACCCTCTGGCCAAGTACCTGGCCTCGGTGGATAACAAATACAGCACTCTCTTCCTGGACACAGCGTGGCGGGAGCTGTTCAGCAGGGCTGAGCCTCCCACCGCAGGTGAGGAGCGGGGCAGGCTGCCATCAGCAGTGCCCTGAGGGCGAGCCCAGCTGCCATCGAGGTCTTCATGGCTCTTTGTGCCCGCAGACACTGTGGACATAGCAGGCCGTGTTGCCCAGTTCATCGCTGGAGCCAGCTTCTCTCACCAGCTCCCCATCTCCGAGGCCATGCTGACCTACAAGCAGAAGAGGTGAGTGTGGCCCCAGGGTGCCTGTCCTCCCTCATGCGGCCTCGGTCTGGGACGTGCCCAGGACAGGAATGAGGGACACGGGACAAGTGAGTGAGGCCCTGCATTCCAGTGACAAGCAGCACGGTGCTGAGGGGAGCTGGGGTCCCACAGTGAGAGGCCCACAGCACCATTCCCTGCCACCTCCCGGTGTGCTTGGCCCCTCCAGTAGCTGTGACTGTGACAGCCCCAGTGGTGGGGACCAGCTGGGACGGGCTGGGTGGGGCTGCAAGCTGGTACTGTGCTCTCCGGGGGTTGATGCTCGTGTTCCAGCTGCACTCTCACCTCTCCCTTCTCTTGGTTTCTGGCACCCAAGGAAGAGAAGTCTCTATTTTGATTTTTATATCAGGTATTGGCTTGTGCTTGCTGTGCCGCTGCCTGGCCCCTCCCCGCCTTTCCCCATGTGCGTCCATCCCTCTTGCTGTGCAGAGGAGCCGTGACCCCACAGAGGGGCAGGGCTGCCCTCCCGCATGCAAGCCCCTTTCCCAGCACTGGAGGGGACAACTCCTTGCCTCCTTGTGTAGTGTGCCCTGTGCTGCCATGTTGGGGACAGGGGTTCTCAGGGGAGGGAGGGCAGAGGAGATGGTCCTAGTGGATGTGAGCCAGCATTGACGCCTGCGAGTGCAGGGCTGCCTGGGCACAAGGTTCGTAGTCACACAGCAGTTGGTGCTCAGCACAGCCAGACCCTGACCAGACTCTCTTCCTTCTGCAGCCCCGACGAGGACTCCTGCCAGAAGTTTGTCCCCTTTGTGGGGGTGAGTGAGTTGAGGGGCCAGCAGGGGCTGAGGGGAGAGGTGCAGTGCACAGTCCTGCTGATGCTGGGTATCCTCTGGTTTCTCCTTGCAGGTGGTGAAGGTGGGCCTGGTGGAGCAGTCTTTCAGTGCCTCCGGTGAGTCCCTGGGAACGCCTAGCTCTCTTTTCCACAGGTGGGAAGCTCTTGTTGGTGTCCCACAAACCCTCAAACCCACACTTTTCCTCCCTAGTGGACTCAGATGATGCCACAGTCTGTACCCCCTCCTCCCTGCTGAGCTCAACACCAGTGTCCAGTACATCTGTTTCCTATGGCAAGGAGACCATCTGCACCCCACCACCCTCTCCGTCCGTCTGCAGCAGCATCTCGGGTGCTGGGTAAGGAAATGGGGCAATGGGGGCAGAGGAGCAGGGGCCCCACCTGTGTGCTGCATGTGCTGCCTGTGTTGCCCAGGTCTCCGAGCCCTGGTCTGGAGGTGATGGGCCTGCAGGTGGACTACTGGACAACACAAGGGCTGGACAGGAAGAAGGAGGGTGACAAGCGGGAGACGGGTATCAAGAACACGCTCAAGAGCAACTTCCGCTCACTCCAGGTCAGCCGCATCCCCAGCACAGGGGAGCTGGTGCCCCCCAGCACCATGGCCATGACTGTGGTCACCAAGGAGAAAAACAAGAAAGGTAACCAAGCCCACTCTGGGGTGTTCTCTGCCTCTGGGGCCACAGTTCTTTGTGGAAGGGGTGGGGGGAGCCTGCAGGAGGGCAGGGCTGGGATGTGGCCCAGCAGGGGTCAGTCAATGCACTGGGCCAGGTGGGGACATCCTAACATGGGTCCTGTCTGGCCTTGTCCCCAGTGATGTTCCTGAGCAAGAAACCAAAAGAAAAAGACTTGGAACACAAAAGCCAAGTCATTGAAGGGATCACACGCCTCATCTGCACAGCCAAGCACCAGAACACCATGTTGCGAGGTGAGGACAGGTACCGGCCCGTTTGGGCTGTAGTGGGGCAGACCAGGCAGCACAGGCTGGCTGTGGTAGGGCTGTGCCTCACTGCACCCTCTCCTCTCAGTCTCCATAGATGGGGTGGAGTGGAACGATGTGAAGTTTTTCCAGCTGGCAGCACAGTGGCCAACACATGTCAAGTACCTCCCTGTGGGCATCTTCGGCTACTCGAAGAGCGTGTGAGACATTGGGGCATCCCTGGAATGGAGCTGCAGTGGGTTGCAGGAGACAGGGAGATGGACATGCTCTTGTCCCCATCTTCTGCAGACCAGTCCCTGCCTGCTCAGTGGGGGGGATGCTACACCTGCACCCTGTGGGCCAAGACCCGTGAAGGTGAGGCCAGTGAGATCGGGTCCATGCACCCTCCAACACCAGCCAGGACACCATGCCATCTGCCTCCCATGTCTCCCAGCAGCAGCCTGGGACAAGGGTTGGCACCAGCCAGCAGGGCCCCAGGATGGGCTCTGGGCCCTACTCTCCACAGATGCACCTGCCAGGCCAGCCCTGTAGTCCTGCCTGGTCCCAGCTGGGCTGGACCCAGGCAGGTTCCCCAGTGCTGCAGCCAGCCAGACTGCTCTGTGCAGGGGCAGGTGCTGAGCAGGGCCCACCACCCCTGTACCACCCTTGCCAGCCCCACTGCCAGCCTTGCACTGCTGTGCTGGCCCTGCCCTCTGCAGCACAGCCTCGGCAGCTTTTCCAGTCCCCCTGCAGCCCTGCTGCTGAGGCTGTCCTCTTCATCTCCCCATCCCTTCCCAACCAGCCCTACCCCAGGGTGCTGCCAGCTGGAGGTGTGGGGTGAGGGCACCTGAGTTTTTTTTTTACAAGATTCTATTTTTTTTAAATTTATTGTATGGTTACTTTTCGGGATTAATTTTAATAAATTAATGCTGTTACCATTATGGCAGGGTATTTGTGTGTGTGTGCCCTCATGTCTGAGGGCATGACTCAGAGCAGCTGGGAGAGAATAAATTCGGGCAGGGTGCAGCCACTACCACCACTCCAGCAAGCATTTCTGTCAGGGCTGCTTGAGCACACAGGTATGGCCTGGCCACACTCCCAGCTGAGCTCCCCAACAGACTACAGCATGGGACTGGGTGGAGCTTGGCTCATTTATTTAAATAAAACTCACACGTGTTTAGGAAGAGACAGACTGGATTCAACCTGAGTTCTCCCAGCCAGGTCCTCATCTACCTGAACGTGGAAAAAGTCTGTCTCCTTTCAGCAGAGGCCAGATTTGCTGCTGTCTTGATCTCTACAGTATGGAAGGCAACCTGTGGCTGGACCTGAGAAGTGGGGAGCGTTGTGGATTCAGCAGAGATGTATTCCAGGACATG